CACCACCCCACGCCAAACTAAACAAGAAACAGCAGGTTGCCTGGAGACAACTACAGACACACACGTACCCGAATCCGGTGATCCTTCGCCTCTGCTACCCAGGCATTTATACGTCCGACGCGTGTAAGGCGTGCGGAGCCAGAGCGACGCTGCAGCACATGCTGTGGAAGTGTACCGGTAACGCGCAGCAGTCCCCTACGAACCCGGTAGACATGGCAGTCTCGAACCGCGAGGCGCGATGGGAGGCGGCTCTGCTAAGCCACAACCTTGCTGATCAACTGTGGGCCGTCCGGCAAGCCCAGGATGCCGCCCGGGTCCAAGGACTCGAGGCCGTCACCTAGGCCGGGGTGCTTGTAGCCCCACCCCGCTCAATGACGCCGGACATGTTCAATAAAGTTTTTACTCACTCACTCACTGTAGCTGCTCATATTGTTTTCTTCCCACTTTCACTGCTCTTCCAAAACTTAGCTTGATACGTTTGTGATCACTACCCAGACTTCTGGAGCCACATTCATCTATGTGCATTCCCCTGAGCCTAGCATACATCCTATGTGGCATCAGTGCATAATCTATCGTCGACTGCAGCCTTCCTACCTCCCATGTTATTTGCCCCTCAAACTTCTCAGTACTGTTGCAAATGATCAAATCATGCCTTTCACACATAGCCATGATCAATTTGCCTGTTAGGTCCTTATACCCATCTATATCTTCTATGTGCGCATTGATATCTCCTAGTTTAATTATCTCGCGCTCTCCTCCTAATTCCTGTCTTTTGATATACACTCCACCATTGCCTGGTTTTCCTCTCTGGCCTTTGCTCCCATCCACAAGTACACCAAACCAAGGAGTGTCATCTGCCCAGCTACTTTCCCTCTTAACCATAAATGTTCCGTGTATCCCTGCTTAATTGACTCTTTGCCAACTCATACTTTTATGCATGAATGCACCAATTCTACCCCCCTTTTTGCTGCCTTTTGTTCTATTGCAATATTGCCATACGTTGTCCGGATTGCAAGGTGGTTTCCCCATGTCCCGAAGATGTGTCTCCACAACCCCATATACCATCAGCTCCTCCTGCCTCAACTACTCTTCTATCTCTTCCCACTTTAACCTATTCCTGTCACCCTGCATGTTAATATAGCCTTCGTCTGACTTAGCTCGGCCCTTGTGCTACAGTGTACTAGAATAAATTCTTCTAGTACACTGTACTTGTGCTTACGTCGATTTCTTTTCCCACGGAATCCGTGTGGCTTGAATATTTGTGCCCCTTTAGAGCCGTCTTTGCTACAGGACTGTTGGCCTCTGGGTCACCCTAAAAAAGCTGTGGCTTGACGACCCATTCTATTACCGACCCTCCTGCCCATCGCACCACTGTAGTGAATGCCATCCTGTGCAAAGGGGCGAGCGCCGGGCTCGTACACGTCTTGGTTCACTTCCATTACACTGTATCCGAGTTGCCGGCTCATACCCTTGATCACATAGTTGGCCTCCACTACCCTCCTTTCAATCCCACGAGACTGCCCCCAGACCTCTGGGACTGTGCATATGGTCACATGCACACTCCCAGAGGCTTCTCGGAGCTTACGCATCCCATCCTCTAATTGTCTCTGATGATTCTTATCCTTGACCTTCAACACATCATTGAGTCCAGCATGAAAATGACATTTTCGCCCTCTATGCTGTCGCTGGATGGATGGATGGATGGATGGATGTGGCTGTACCCTTTATATCGGGCGGTGGCTAACGCCACCTAGCCGTAATACTTAGTGAACTAACCAATAGATTTATCTTTTTTTCCCCTTCAAATAGTGAAGTTGAGGATTCGTACTTTGCAGTGAAGGGTTTAATTTTCACTCGTGCCTTGACTTTAGCCACCCATCAGATAAACTCCTTCTAGTGATTTCTACCCACTTAAAGTCTATTTTGCCCTCCCTGTCCCTAAACCCCAGTGCTTTGAAAAACTCTGCGCCATCATCCTGAACTAAAAGGTGAAGCCCTTTACAGAACATTAACAAGTGTTCGGCAGTTTCTTCTACCTCTCCACACGCACTGCATACTGTGTCTACCTCTTCGTATTTGGCCCGATATGTCTTGGTTTGCAGTACTCCCGTCCTGGCCTCAAACAGTAGAGAACTACCCCGAGTATTATCATAGATCCTATCCTTGGCAATTTCCTGCTTAAAAGTTCGATAGATCTCTAGTGCGGACTTCTTAATTATGTTAATTATCCACATGTCTGTCTCCGTTTCCTTCACTTTCTTCGTAACCAATAGTTCTTTTTGGTTTGGCAAACTGCTGTTTTCTAAGTATTTACCAGTCAATTTCCTGGTTCGCTTCCTCCATTTTGTATCGACATTCTTCATGTACAAGTAGCTGAAAACCTTCCTAGCCCAACGCTCCTCCCCCATTTCTCTCAATCGCTTCTCAAATTTTATCTTGCTGCTAGCTTCCCTGCCCTCAAATGATGCCCATCCCATATCACCTTGCACTTTCTGATTTGGTGTATTACAGTGAGCTCCTAATAAAGCAAGCTTCCCTATTTCACGTTGCTTAATTTCTAATCTTGCTTGAACTTCTGATCTCATGCACAAGACCGCATTGCCGAACGTCAGCCCAGGAACCACGACCCCTTTCCATATTCCACTCACAACATCATACCTATTGTAATTCCACAGTGCCCTATTTTTCATCACTGCTGCATTCCTGTTACCTTTAGTCATCACGTATATTTCACGTTCCCTTAGGTACTCGGTCCCATTGCTTATCCATACGCCCAGATATTTGTATTTATCTGTTATCTCTAGCGTGACTTCCTGTATTCTAAGCTCACTACCTTCGTTATCATTAAAAATCATGACTGCTGATTTTTCCTGACTGAATCTAAAATCTAACCCATCTCTGTCATTACCGCAGATGTCCATCAATCTCTGCAAAGCTTCCTTGTTGTTATTAGCACTATATCATCTGCGTACATTAATGCTGGTAGTGCCTGATCAAAGAGTTTTCCTTGTTTGACTAAAGAGAGGTTGAAGCCAAATCCACTTCCCTCTAATTTGGCCTCTAATCCTTGTAGGTACATCATGAATAACAAGGGTGACAGTGGACACCCCTGCCTAAGTCCCCGTTTCACCTCTGTGGGCTTGGATACCTGTTTTTCCCAATTTATACCTACCTTGTTACTTTTAGATTTCCTTCAAAAGATTAGTGACTCCATCTTCCACACCCAGTGTGTCTAGTACTCCCCACAAGTCCTCTTGAACCACGCTATCGTGCGCTCTCTTGATATCCAAAAATGCTAGCCACAGGGGCCTGAGTTCCTTTTGTGTTATTTCGATGCACTGCGTCAGTGAGAACAGATTGTCTTCCAAACTCCTGTGTTTCCGAAACCCATTCTGCAGCTCCCCCAGCACCCCCTCATCCTCTATCCATGCCTGCAGTCTTTCCTTTATAGTCTGCATCGCCAGCCTGTAGACCACTGATGTCACTGTTATAGGACGGTAGTTGTTTATGTCATCTTTGTCCCCCTTTCCTTTATAAATAATGCTCATCTTGCTAAGTTTCCATCCATCAGGGACTTCACCATCGATTATAGTTCTGCTCACTGCCTCTCTCAAAGCCTGCTTAGACTTCGGACCTAATGTCTTTATCAGCCTAATTGGAATGCCGTCTGGGCCTGTTGATGTACTACTTAATGGAACCCTCTTCTCAGCCCTTTCCCACTCTCGTTGTGAAAATGGAGCCATTGTGCCACTTGATCCATCCCTGTCTATTGTGGTGCATAAGGCACTTCGATCTTTGTTGAAATTTTTCTGTCACCCTTGTTCTTATATATTCAATAGCTTCGTCCCCGTCTAGCCTAGCACCTTGAGCTGTAGTTAAAAACCTCTGCTCTAGATTTGTTTCCTTTCTTAGGGAGTTTAGATGGTTCCAAAATTTTGCAGCTGCCTTTCTGTCCTTTTTATGTACTTCTGCCAGCCATTGAGCACCCTTTCTTCTAATCTTTTCATTGATCAGGAGGAATGCTTTCCTTCTAGAGCTTAGAAAGATTTCCCATTTTCTTTCAACATCATCTGTTGGTTCACCCCGTTGCTTAGCACATCTGTGTTCTTTAGAGGCTTCCTGACGTTTTGCTATGGCTCTCTTAACTTCCTCATCCCACCAACTTTTGGGTTTGTGTCTTCTTTTCCGGGGTGACTTCTCACGTGCCTTAACAAGCTCTATCCCAAACAGTCTAATTAGATTTGTGTACGTCCACACAGTTTTATTATCCTCAGTAATTACTTTCTCAATTTCTTTAGTAGCAATTTCTTTTTGCCTTCTGAATGAAAATTTTCCTGTAGTTGCTCATCTTGTCTCCTTCCCACTTTCGCTGCTCTTCCAAAACAGCTTGATACGTTTGTGATCACTACCCAGATTTCGGGAGCCACCTTCATCTATGTGCATTCCCCTGAGCTTATCATACATCCTATGTGAAATCAGTGCGTAATCTATTGTTGACTGCAGCCTTCGTACCTCCCATGTTATTTGCCCTTCACACTTTTCGGTACTGTTGCAAATGATCAAATCATGCCTTTCACACATATCCATGATCATTTTGCCTGTTGAGTCAGTATACCCATCGCCTCTAAGGCGCCGCAGCGCCGCCTATCAGTTTTCTTGCAAACGGCCTCTCCAGAAGGACCACCCTCTCTATTGTTGACTGCAGCCTTCCTACTTCTCATGTTATTTTCCCTTCACACTTTTCGGTACTGTTGCAAATGATTAAATTGTGCCTTTCACACATATCTATGATCATTTTGCCTGTTGAGTCACTATACCCTTCGCCTTCAAGGCGCCGCAGCGCCGCCTAGCGGTTTCCGTGCAAACGGCCTCTCCAGAAGGACCACCCTCGTCCCACTATTCCTATCTAGTTCACTATAGCCAAACTGCAGATACGCTGGCGTGTGTCTGAAAAGCTCCCGCCAACACTGTGCATTTTGTCACGTGGCTTTAGTTTACCTGCCGCTCCGGATTTGATCCGCCTTCAGGTGCGCTCTCGCTGCTCCCACGGGCTCCTCCGCATCTTCACGTTTTAAATAATTAGCGCATAAGTGAGCGGCAGATAATAAGTAATCAGATATTCGCGCTTAGGTCATATTGGTGACATAAAAAAGTAAAAAAAACGACCCCTTTCTGGCTCCTCATAATGAAATACCTTTCGCTTGTGTTTCTGGGCTACTGGCTTTCCCTACTGTCATCAGTAGGCGTGGTGAACTCCTCAGCAAAGGGTGAAGGCGACAAACTAGAACCACCGACTGTGCTTATTGCTGTCATACTGAGGAACAAGGCGCACGTGTTGCCCTACTTCTTCGGTTACCTGGAGCAACAAAGCTACCCTAAATCAAGGATAAGTTTGTGGTAAGTAAATGGTGCGACGCCGCAGGTATTATGCTACCGCCGATCTTAAGTCAGCTGTTGTGCAGTGTGTGGGTAGTTCGCTAGAAAGGAAAAAAAAAAAAGGTGTCGCAGAATTTTTTATTGTTGCTTACCCCTTGGTACATGGCTCGATGCGATTCCCGCGTGTAATAATTTGCTACGGGCGATTGACATACTTTTTCCATTTAATTGCTAACGCGCGCCGCCAGTTAGAGATTAATTAAACGCATATCCCTTAATGATTCTCCTTCTTTTGTTGGCAGCATGCTGTGAATTTTCGTAATAGATAAATACAGCGTAGCTATTGTGTTCGCAGGTATTAGCGCAGGTTAATGTGCGCTAGTGTCGTCTGCTGAATCGAAAGTGAAAAGGGAACTCGTGTTAAAAGAATTAGCCAAGTTTAATTTCACTACGTGGCAACTCCTTTATTATTTTTTGGGGGCTATTCCGTCTGGACCTTAATCTTTTTCACCATTTATAGAACGATTGCCGAGGCATGTGGAAACAAGAGCAGAGATAGAAACTTGAGTCGGGCGGCGGAGGATGAGAGATTAGAAAATTTGCAGGCATGGCGGATACGGAGCCGTGGATGTGCAGCTGATGCAGTGATAAGTTGGAGGTCACTGAGGGAGCCACTTAGCCTGCAGTGAACTTAAACAGGCCGATTACGATAACGACGGGTCATATGATGGGAAATTTCTATTTTAGCCAAAATAAATAAGTTCAAGTGCATTCAAAAAGGCACACATGGAGTTAGCTTCATGCAGGTGCCGTTTGACCAAATAAATCTTAACCACAGAGTTACTTATTAAGATGATTTCTATCGTGGTGTTGCTTCATTTAACATCCCCTAACATGTGGCTTTCAGTGTGCTGGTAAAGACAGAAGATAGAAAGCTGCATGGTGGTGTAAAGGCAACGTTTGAGTGCTGCAGTTCTTTTTGCATACTTGAACATGTAGAGAAAGTTTTGAGGTCGGAGATAAACATTGCAATGCGTCCACACCATTGTGTAATTATTTGGGCCTAAAGCCCCTTTAATGCTTACTTTGACTACAGGCTGACATATTGCACATGATAAACATGTGTTTGTGTGGTCCACGAAGAGGTTTTTTTTTAGCATCCTGTTTATGATGAAGCAGTTGAAAGCACGTAAAATTTGCTCTTAACAATATTTTGAGCACATTGAAGTGTGCAGAAAAAAAAAAAAACATATGTGTCTCTAATGCCTTTCTTAGGAAAACACTGCTGCATAGCACAAAAATTCAAATAAATGTGTATTTCCATCAGTGGCAACATGAAATCTCTCTAAAAAGAAAAAAAAAAATTTGCAATTGCTGTGTGTCATGGTTCCTTACCAGAGACCAGCTTGCAGAACATGTGTGCGACCTAATGTTTCTTGGTTTAATGCAACAAAAATAAATTTGTTTGGACAAATAAGGATAATTGGTATACTTATAGTTGCAGTGTTAAAAAAATGCTGCATTAGCTTTGTTATGAATGGAACATATATTGACTGGTCCTATAAACATTACACTAGAATGCTGAAACAGAGGCTGCATTTAAAAATTCTTTGTGCTGCAAGTGAGTCCTATACACTTGTCGCAGTTGTTGACTGTGGTTATATACCCTTCAGGTGAAAATTATGACAAACTAACTGCAAGTGTGTCAAATACATGCATTTTCATTCCAAGACACTTGGCATTTTGTTGCTAGAAAGCAAATGGGGTAATATGTTGATTTTTCAATTTTCACTAATAATCCTTAGTGTCTAAGTAAAGACCTATATATTTTGATGTCAGTCACATATTATATATTTCAATAAAAGTCGTTATAAGCCTTGCAATACATGGGCCACTTGTACGAATTATGTTCTTTCCGAGCAAACAAAAATTAGAATTTTTGTGTGGTTCCCTGAACAGGGCATGTCGAATGGCTCATCGAATATGGTAGTGCCTTCACCAAAATGATTCTCTGCAGCAAGATTCAGCACAGTGAAATTAAATAAGGGCTAATGGTGCATTCAGGAACAATGTACTTATATGAGATTCGCATTTCAATCTAGTTGAACAGCATGTAATATGTGACAAGCGCCGTCAATACTCACAGCTGCTGAAGCAGATATGGCAGAACCCTGATTTTCTGAAACTCACTTTACTAACAAGTATAGCTTGATCTTAAAAAGAAAAAATTGACCGATGCTTCCAACAACAGTGTATGGCAAAAAGGAAAGCATGGAACCATTTAAAGCAGCCTATCAATTTTTTTTTCTGCTAGTTTTTTTTTCTTTCAAAAATTGACTTGTCACCAGTTTTCTACGACAGCTCTTGTCCCGAAAAACATGCTCCTGCTCTGCAGGAAACCTCAGCCTGTGCCCACGTTCATTGAGGTGGAAGTAATTAAGCGTTTCCAACCATGGGCGTCAGCATGGGGGTGCAAAAAGGGCACTTGCCCCCCTTAAGCCTTACCAGCACTTGCCTTCAACAAGGCTATACAAGTACTCTCCCCTTTCCTAGACACTATGCAACACTGGTTTGCACCCCCCAAAAGAAAATCGTGCTGACGACCATGCTTCCACCTTGGTAAATATAAAAGATTATATATAAGTGTGTAAATATACAAATAAAATTTTAATAAATTCAGTGCTACACAACTTTGCTGGCTATGACCTTCACAGAGGAGCTCATAAATACTTGAAAAAAAAAAATTCTTTTAATAATGTAGTACACTCAATGCATTCATTCCAATTTCACACAGACTGCAATATGTTTGTTTTGAAAAAAAGGTGTTTTGTGGTCTTTTAGAGACTATAGATGGTAGGCCGGCCAGCTTCAAATGAATGTCGATTTTAATGAAGCAGCTTTGTTTTCTGTATGTACTTTTAAAATTTGCACGCAGTGCTCTAAAGCACATCTAGAGCATCACAACTTGCCAAGCGCTCTTTTGTTCTTTTCTTTTTGATGCTTCATGTGTTAGACATCGAATAAAGGGAGAAAATGTTGTCTAAAAACTGTAATTATCATCAATTTTTCGTGATAGGTTAAACCTTAGAAGAGAAGTGAAAATGAAAGTTTTGTTATGTGTAGTCAGTGTTATCCCAGTAATCTAGTGTGAGAACTCCATATGTTACCAGAGGCAACCACTTTTCACAAAATTACTGGCTAGTGTCTCTGTAAAGGTACACTAAATAGAAACAGTGACTTCGTTTATATTGACGAATTGCACTATAAAAACTCTAATGCCAAATGTTTCACTATGGCCCCGCCACGGTGGTCTAGTGGCTAAGGTACTCTGCTGCTGACCCACAGGTCACGGGATCAAATCCTGGCTGCGGCCGCTGCATTTCCAATGGAGGTGGAAATGTTGTAGGCCCGTGTGCTCAGATTTGGGTGCACGTTAAAGAACAACGAACAACGGTGGTCGAAATTTCCGGACCCCTCCACTACGGCATCTCTCATAATCATATGGTGGTTTTGAAATGTTGATCCCCACAAATCGGTCATCATCAATGTTTCACTATGATAAGTTCATTAAAAGCAAAGAAAATCAAGGTTGAAATTCAATTTTTAAATTTCCTACCGAAATCTTCCTGCATGAAATCAAAAATTTCAAAATGTATTCTTCGTATTTTCTTGGCATTGGCTTGATGAAGTTTTCAGAAACTTTGTACGCTAGGTCTACAGCACCCACAGGTGGTATACTTCATTTTTAATGATTAGAAGCTATGTGAGACCCAAAGTACTCCTTCAAAATTTATGACGTCTAGGTGCTTGGTGCAGGAATCTCAGGATAGCGTTGCCACCTGTGTTTTATTTGCATGCGTTCTCTCACCTACTGAGTATCGTGTCATGTAAAAGTGGAGTTTTCGCGATTGGGAAATTGTACTTTAATAATATGCAAAAAATTATTTTGCTCTTTAGTGTCCCTTCAAAGGGGCCCTGCAACTCTTTTTAAGCATGGTCAGAAAACACTGCCGATCAGTAGTAGACGCTCCCGACAACACATGAGCCAAATAATATAGCAGAGCACGTTGCCTGGAATTCACAATAAATTATCAAAGTCAGCTGAAAATTGCTTTCTCTTCTCTTGACAAATGATGGAAGACTCTCAGAAATGACTCGTAGAAATCCATCTATCAGCCATTGGCCGATTTGAACATGGCTCCCTTGGTCATTACAGAGATCGCCACGGGAGGTTGTGACTTGTCCACGCGTGCGTGCACGATCACACTGAATAAAAGGGTCGCGAATTTGAACAAGAAAAAAAAAGAGCGCTCGAGGTCACGAGGCGTGCATGACGTAATTTCATTGCCTCTGCCATCCCTCCCTGCTTAGCTTCCAACGCTTTAGTCAGAACGAGAGAAGAGAGAATGCAATTGAAGCATGCGACAAATCTTTGTAACTCCACTCGCACTGGACGAATTTCTAAAATTTTTTGTGGCATTGAATTTGTGAGGCAATAAGCTCTTCCAGTGAATTCATTCCATGGTTACTTGAAAAGTTTCAGGGCCCCTTTAAAGTTACATTTGTTGATGGTAGCCTTATTTTATAAAGTATTTTATTTTTATTTTGGGCACACGCTTTTGTTTCTACGCATGTCACCTAAAATGTATACTAACCAATCAGTTCTGAGGATATAAATATTGCATAATGCAGTTTTTTTGGTTGATTTCATGCTTAACACTACATATTTACGATTCCAACATAAAACTTCCCGTTAAGCTATCACTAGCCTGACATTTTGGTCTCTTAAAACATCTGCATAGTAGTAGCATAGTGTGGATGAATGAGTTTATCAACTGGACAAGCAATGTGGACCTGTTAAATTGTTAAATTGAAGTATTGCAAAACATAATTTACCAGCACAAAATCAGTCAGACTTTCAGTGTTTGTTTGGTGTACACGCTATTTTGTTTTATCCTAGTGCGGCTCTGGTAAATCATGCTGGGCATGTATATTTTTGCACATGTTCATAAAATCAGATAGCTATGAGCTAACACGTTGTGCTTGGCAGGTTTATGAATTAATATCTACTATTTCTCTGCAGGATTTACACAGACCATAATGTGGACCAAACAGCTGAAATTGTTGACACCTGGGCTGAGGCAGTGTTGAACAAGTATCACAATGTCAACTTCACTAGTGAAGATGGTGAGGCATTCTTTCCTGATGAAGAAGGCTCACAGAAGTGGACGGCACAACGCTATTGGCACGTGATACGACTGCGTGAAGAAGCAATCCAAGTTGCGCGGACATTGTGGGCCGATTTTATCTTTGTAAGTCCTGGAAGATATGTGCAGCAGATTCTGAGAGCACGTGCAAGAAGTGCATGCCATTTTTCTGTAAGCTCTATTAATTATTGCACAGAACATAGCTTTAACAGTGCTGAGTAACACGGAGAGAGACAAAACTGACAAAAGATCATGGAATGACTGCATAAAAATGCTGTTTTGAAAGTATTCTAAAAATTGGTAGAGTTGTATCTCTTCCAGATAAGGCATTTTCAATTGTGATTGAGCCTGATTGGGATTGACCCTATATAATGATTCGCTATGCTTTTCAGTTTTTGGAAACAGGCCTATAGTGTTAAGAAAATTACATACACGTGCTTGATTGGGAATGAAAGAATGAAAGTGCACCATGTAACCAGGAAATTACACATGACTTTATCAAAGTACATAATAGAATAGAAAAAAGTAGTTTATAATAGTTGTATAGTGTATAATAGTGTATAATAACTCACCAAAATAAAGAATTTGCATGAGGTGGCTTAAAGCTGTTTGCATTATTAGAAAGGTATTGTTTTTTGTACAATCTACTCACCATATTCTTAATTCAGTCAGGACCCAATTTTAAACACATACTCATTATCGTGCCTTGTGGGTGAAAGCTATTCCCTATTCCTTGCATAGAAACTAAAATAATTAACTGGATGTATAAACTAAATACAAGTTTTCTTTTAATGCTAAATATACTTAATTAAGTTGTTGCTTTTCTTGCTGTTTTTGGCTTGTGTTAAATGGACTCATATGAACAGTAATGATTAGGTTCAACAGAGATTAGCCTTACATTTTATTGCATGAAATGAAACATTCATCAAAGTTAAGGGATAAACTTGTGAAGGGGGATAACTCCTTGCCCACATTCCCTTACTTCTTGGAACCCTTGTTAGCATGCTTTACTCAAATGTTTTCATTTTTGTTGGTACTACGTGAGTGTTCCATGATCAACTCAGAGGGACAGAGTGTAATATTAACCCGAAAAATTTTTGTTGTAGCAGATTCATTCTAGTCTATTAATTGTAATTAATAAGAATCCCCAACTCACTAGTTTATTGTTCCTTATACTGATTTTCATTCTATTGCATTTCAGTTCCTTGATGGTGATGCCATGCTTTCAAACCCCAAGACGATACAAGATCTAGTTGAGGAAAACAGGTATGTTGTGAACAAGTAGTAGCGCTTCTAAGTGAAATCCATAAAACTGGTGATGAACTCCCTTGTGCAGCAAAAGCTATGAGGAGGCTTGTGTAGTGCACAGCTTACTATCAAAATCACTATGATTCGCTGAAGAATTTAGTTAAAGCTAAGCTTGCGTATTTCTTTTCCAGGCTTTCTTCTCTACTTTTTTTTTTTTTTTTCAAAGCAGTACAGGGTGGAGGGGGGAATCGACAGTATACAATAAGACTAACTGGTTATTTAGGTGAAAAGAAGTGAAAGAAAAGTAAAGTTCGTAGAACTGTATGTTTTATCTATGGTAATTAGACATTTGTTTATGTTTGACGATGCAAGAGGGTAAAAGATCCCTTGATTAGAAGGGTTGAAGATAATCTGAAAATAGATATACATATATGTAAAAAATGTATTCCTCTTCACATGAGTTTTATACGTAGACATTGAAGTTTGTGGCTATGATGCCTTTCCTAAGTAGCGAAACCAGTGCTTTACAGAGCTGAAGTTACGGTGATGCTGTGGTTATTGGGTCATCAGTACACTGAATAAAATGGGTATTCAAAGAGTGCAGACTTCCATTACATAGGTGCCTTGAGGTCTTGCCATTGGTGCCCAGGGTTGCACTAATAAGTGAAAGATATATGGAAGCATGTGATTATTTGAAAAGCGAGTTGTGAGCATTTATATTCTTCTTGTTTTCTAAATGGCTGATTGACATCAAACTATGTGCTCCTACCATTAGTACCATTATTGCTGCATTTATCTGTCTTGCCATTGGTCTATTCAAACTTCAAGTAACAAAAATTGCCACCTAAAATGTGTTGGAAGGCCTTTTTAGCTTAAGCCACGAGACGTCTTGATTTAGGTAGGACATGTCCTGGTTTTGGGGCTGGGGTCCCGCTGGGCTGACAACCTGCTTGCAAGATGGTGTTTTGTCTCGCTTTCGGCCCAAAGCTGGCTCATAGTTGCGATCAGCCAGCCTGGCCGCCACACCCTTTTTCTATACTATGCCATACACGGCTATGATCTGTTTTCTTTCTTCATTTTTTTCCTCTTTTACTGTTTTTCTTTATCTTTCATTCTTTCAATCTTTCTTTCTCCTGCCCATAGCAACGCGATCAAATGGCGCCCATATAGGCTTGTTCAGCCCCCACGCCTGTGTAGCCGAGTGGTCATGACGCCCACCTTCAGACCATGCCGGGTTCGAAACCCACCTGGAAATTTTGTTGCATTTTATTCCATTCTTTTCCTCTCCCACTCCACTTCCCATCTCCTCTTCTTTTTTCCTCCTCTCCACTTTGCCTAGAAGAGTTTTCACCTAACGCTCACCATCCTCCTCCTTCTGGAGTCCTTGCCTCAGTACACCTGCTTTGACTGGGCTTTACTCTCTCCCACATCAAGCTCCAACCTCCTTCCAAACCACTCTCACCTTCTTTCCCTCCCACCTGCTGTACTTAGTGGTGGGGTTTGCGCTATTCCCGTGGCGCATACACGCCCGAGTTGTGTATGTCCCCACTATTAAATGTGGAATTTTCTATCTCGGCTATATGGTGCGTTCCTTCCATCATTTCACGACCCCCTTCCCCCCTTTGCGTCTTGTTTTGTAGTCTGCGAAATGTAGTCACTGTACTGTACATTGAGCGGTACTTATGGACTATCAAAGTCAGTTTTGGCTTTAAAAACCATTAACGAAGTGGAGTGGCATTGTGTTGCACTGTCAAAAATAAGTCTGATGTTGAAAATACCTCTTTTTTGTTTACTCAGACAGTATTATCAATTGTGCTGTGTAAAGCTGTTCTGAATTCAACCATTCAAGAAAGTTTCTGCCAAATTTCATAAGAACAATTGCTAGATTTGACCTTCGTTAGTTCACAAAACTGATGGAACAAACTGAATTATTCTGCATGTAAAATAAAGAAGAGGCAGATAGGCAATGAAGCACACCATTGCCTTATCTTCAAGTATATTTCCTAAACTCCAAGATGGCCCCAAATGAAACACAAACTCACTTTTTATCGTTTAAAAGTAAAAAAGTAGTGGGTAGATGGCTGTAAAGAGTTTAAACAGAAAAAAATCTAATCTTGACTGAGCCAGACAACTTTTCTGAGCCAGAAAAAAAAAAGTTTGCCATTGGTTTTGGTCATTGCAAGCTACAATAAAGTGACAACAGAAAACTTTGCCTTCATGAAATGGAAATTTGTTTACTCCTAATGTCCACTTGTCATGTCGTTATCAGACAACAGTTGCTATCTGTGGTCCACAACATGTTTTCTATATGATCGAGTGCACCTTTTACAGTTTTCAAACGATTGTAGAACAATGACATATGATGTAGCTATCTCCTAGACTAATTTAATTGTTCTTCCTGTGATGCATGCAGTTATTTAAACACCAAAAACTTGTAATGTGACTTTTCATAACAGATAAAACCACGTTTCGAAAGAGTGCCGCTAGAGAAATGACTGAAGGTGTCATGTAATCATCATAATGCTACATAAAAACTTGTTTTGTTGCCATCTTATGATGGCAGTGGTGATAACACTGGCAAGTAGTCAGTCAGGATTGCTATGAATAGGGTCTTGTATCTTATTGCAGACAATTTTGGGACCATGTTGTTAAAAAGAAAGATAAGAAAAGCGTGTGCTAGAACTGCTAAGTTCTGTGTAATCACTCATTGTGAGCTACCATTTGGGATTGAATTGACCAAAGAATTGAATTACCTAGCCACAGTCAAATTGATACAGGATAGTAGTAGTATGTAATAGGTACCCTAATGTAACAGTTAGCAGTGCTTTTTGTCTTGCCTTAATGTCAGGGTTTTTCCTGTATTATAGTGCCTGGAGTAGTGCTTTTATTAGAAAAATGTACATGCTTTAGTCTGCTATGAGTGCTAGAGAGGTGATAATATCTTAATTTTTGTTTAATTTAAATATTGAACCTCTGTTTCTTATTTGGTCCAGCTATAGTAAATAATAGATATTGATTTTTTCTTTAAAATAGCCAATTGACTTTTCATAACTCGCTGTTGTTCTAAGGAGACAGTTCTTAATTCAGCACAATTGTACTGATTTTCTGTGGCAACTTTTTTGATGCAGAAATAGCTTCACATATCAACCATGCTAGTGACATTGATATTCTTGGCTTTCCTGAGCACAGATGAAGTATCTGACGACAATAATGACACAACATCACATTTCTTTTTTTGCTCTGCATAAATATTTCTAATATAACTTTTTGTGTTCTCATATTCAATCAAAAACCTCTTCCGCAGTGATGCATTACCTTTACACGAGCTCAAAGGCTACAATGCTACAACTATTTCCTTTTATTTTACCATTGCTTGTCATTTGTACCATTTGACTTGTGCCAGGTATCAAGTGCTTGATTGGATGCTGGTAGTCACTGAATATTTTCACTCGCAGAACAATCATCGCTCCAATGCTGGACTCCCGCAGTGCATATTCGAATTTCTGGTGTGGGATGAATGAAAAGGTATGTCTAGCTGACTGCCTTGTTTATTTGTATAATTGTTCAAGCATTGCAAAAGCTCTTACTTAATAGGCAAGAAAAGTGCATTACTAAATGAACCGATATAAGATCTTCACACAAATTTCATGAAAGGCATTTTTATCCCCTCAGTAGCATAGACCCATAATAGTATAAATCTGGTTGGAGGACTGATCTCTTACTGTGATAGTGATTATATGGACACTCTAAGAATAATTTGCCATTGATGTCATATGCAGGGTGCCCCAGCTATCTTTAGCCAGAGCTTAAAAATATGCAGACACACGCAATGATGACACGATCAAATGCATGTTGCTGACAGCTGCTGGGAGTGAGTCAGACTATTTTTTGTGTTCTGATCGTCAAAAATTGACCAGAAATTTTAGTGAAAAAAGTTGTTTGTTGGTTTGTTAAACGTCCGATTAGAGAGTTTCAAGCTTTATATCTATTAATATTTAGTGTTTTTTTGCCAACTACCAATGCTCGTGAAATAAAAAAAATGCCACATGACAAACCTACTCGCGTGCCAGTGTGCGCGATTATTTCAGTGCTCCCTAACATTCAGCGTACGAACGACCATAGCATTTCCCTGATTGAACTGCCTCGACAGGGTCATGACTATGGTGGTGGCTTTGTGATGAACACATTTTGCTGTTGGCCACAAAAGCAATAACCGCTGTGACTGCTTATTGTTGTCATGAACCGGTGCGAGGTAAGTGTATCGTTTGCACACAGACATAGGCAAGGTGTGTACATTCGTTCGTACACAGAACGATAAGGAGCACCAGAATCGCGGTGGCTAAGCTGTGTCGGTCGGTTTGTCACGTGGTATTTTTTTACAGTGAAAGCTGCTGTGAGATCACAACTCGGGTCTTGCGCAGTGCCGTAGTTGTCCGCCACCACTGCCGGTGTCCGTAACCACATCGCACGAAATTAGCGAAAAAACCTAGTACCAATGACACAGTGGGGCTCGAACCTTGGTCCGCTGGGTGCCAGCTCAGTATTCTACCACTGAGCTACGCTGGTGCTTGGGACTTGTTGTCAAACTTGCCCTAGGCAGGCTTGATGTCGGGAAAGAAATTGCGTTATTATGAGTAACAAAGCGTTTTAGAACAGCAAACGAACAACCAGGCGTCACACAATGCGAATAGTGTAACGAGTGGGTCGTCCAATGCTCAAACCGCTACAAAAGCTTGTTCTTTATCACCTATTAACTGTGGAGCATACCCACTTAAGGCATAATTCCTCATCGTCATCAGCCACTGCATGAACAATTGGCACAGAATTCCTCATAATAGTTTAGTGGATACCACACGTCTCAGAAGAATGACGAAGGATAGCGTAGCGAATGCCAGGATACTACCCTAAAATTTTTATTATTAATGCCGTAGTGGGTACCCAGCTAGTGTGCTTACAGGAGTTAGCCAATTAATTTAAAAAAAAAAAGCTCTGAAAGGCCGCTCTTCTTGCTTTCGCTGTGACTGTGCTGCACCTTCCGCGCAGGCCTGGCGTTTTTTATGTATTTTGCGGGAATGTGTAGTTAGCACAAAAACACCAATAATTAACAGATATAAACTTTGCAACTGTCTAGTTGGATGTTTTGTGAACTGATCAACAATTTTCTCATTGGAATTAATCTTCGCTGCTTCAAAAGTTAGTCTATTAAAGGGGCCTAATTAAACAGTTAATCAGAACACAAAAAATAGTCCTACTCACTCCAGGCAACGTTAAGCAAGATGCATTTTGTCGTGTCATCAATGCGTGTGTCGGCATGTTTTTAAACTCTGGCTAAAGATAGCCGGGGTGCCCTGTCTATATAAGTCACAAGGGGAAATAATCATATAAATCTGTCAATGATGTGCAATTATAATTGCACGACCGACCTTTGGTTCTGTGGAATGATGTGAAGCTAAGGGTCGGTGGTTCATCACTTTCTTGTCATATGCAGTTCGAGTTTTACATAACGGAGACGATGCAGTTCTTGTACACTGGGCGAGGTCAGTTCAGACTGTGGCATTTTGCCCTTAAAGTTTGATGACGCGATGATGACACAATCTTGAATGATGTACAACTTTCGCGATTTCAAATGGGTATGTGATAAATTTGTAGCTACTACAACTTTCTAAGATAAAATGACTCCCCGCAAGTCAATAAGGAAGAAAATCAAGTTTTTGCTAATAAGTCACACCAATGACTTTATAGTTGTGGCTAGGTATTTCTGCCTCTGTATAGAGTTCACATGCAAAAACAACAGCAGCTTTACTGTGATGAAATTTTTGTAAAAAATTAGTTTCAGAAATAAAACATCCTGTGTGCACCGGTCGCATAGCTGGTTTTCTCATTGCGTCATAAATCCCTATGCATGCTGTTTCTCCATCTCAGACTTGAGGTTTAACACCTTTTCATTGGCCACTATGACATTTGTTAACATAAATTTACTGATTAGTTTCATGCCACATTTTCACATTCTTTCCACTGTGAGTCAAAGTTTTTCTAATGTTTCGAACATTTTTCTTTTTTTGGTTCTTCAAAACCCTCACATGAAAATTCAAAATGCAAGTCTTCTCGAATGATCGTTAAGGTTTCCTGCTCCGCATAATTATACTTGGTTGCTTTTTATCTGCCGATACAATTTCTTGGTTTCTTGGGTGCAAAGAGAAATCGAAAAGCAAATTTTGCAATGGCATCACTAGTAATGTTTACTGTTCAGCCTCAAACATCTCTGCTTAAAATTACCCGCTCTTTTTTATCGCACTGTCACCTTTGGAACAGTGTGCTACCATGTTGGACGTGTCTGAATGTATTTGTGCATGTGATTTGATACTCAATAACCCAACATGAGTGTTTATTGCACCTGCATGATAAAAAACTCCGGGATTGCATCGAAGGTGCAGCACAGTCACAGATAAAGCTAGAAGAGCGGTCTTTCAGAGCCTTTTCTGAACACTAATTGAGTAACTGCTGCAAGCGCACTTGCTGGGTACCCACTACGACATTAAGAATAATGTCTGGGTAGTAGGTCGGCATTCGCTATGCGATTTTTCGTCATTCTTCTGAGAAGCGTTGTGTCCGCTGAAAACTCGCAAGGAGTTTTGTGCCAATTGTTCATGCAGTGGCTGACGACGATGAGGAATTATGCCTGAAGTGGGTATGCGCCACAGTTAATAAGTGATCAAGAACAAGCTTTTGTAATGGGTTGGAGCATTGGACGACCCACTCGTTACGCTGTTTGCATTTTGTGACGCTTAGTTTTTCTTTTACTGTTCTACAACGCTTATTACTCATATTAACGCGATTCCTTTCGCGACATAAAGCCTGCCTAAGGCAAGTTTGCGAACAATTCACAAGAAACTGTGGCTTAGTGGTAGAATACTGGGCTGGCACGCAGCGGACCCAGGTTCGAGCCCCACTGTTTCTTTGGTGCTATGTTTTTTTTTCTTATTTCATGCGATAGTGGCTACAGACACCGGTGGCGGCGGTGGACAACTACGGCTCTGTGCGTGATCCGAGTTGTGATCTCAGAACAGCTTCCGCTGTAAAATCTGCAGCAAATGTCTGAGACGTGCATGAAAAATATGAGATGACACAAAGTGGCCAAGACACATTGTGATCTCTTGCAACAGTATTCATTTTTTTTTTCAGTGTAGAAAACCGTGGCCTTCAAGATTGGCATTTCTCACTCATTGTCATTTTTAGGGGTGCGAGTTCATTGCAGCATTACATGTGATTGCCAAACTGCTGTACAGTTCATCTGCCATATTAAAAAAGTTCAAATAAAGATTTCTACTGCACCAAATGCATTTGAATTTTGCCAACTTGATGTGAGACATGTATGGGGTAACACAATTTGCATGATTCAGGCTCAAAATTTTGGTGTCATGGTCACTATAGGTACAGTCAGCCAAATCTTTACCTATTGTGCATGTGTGGCAGTTTTTTTTTGTGTATCTTTGCCATACAGCTGAATTAAGTTTCAAACAAGGTATGGACAAGTGTATTCCCACAAAGCACATGTCCACAAAGCAATTTTTTGTAACGTTACATAATATGGCGCTGACATACAGAAAAAGTGGCCGCTGTGCACAATAGCTAAAGTTTTGGCCGACTGTACTTGTGTGAATGATGGCAGCGTGCAAGTTTGTAGACATTATAGTTTTCTGCTTTGGCCTGGAGCTCTTTCGGGGTTTCTAGAAACAGCACTCATCAGCAGCATGTATGCATAACGGGCCTGGTAATTTCCTGAGAAAGTACTGCGAAGTGCTCGTGTTTATTTTTTTTGAATGACAGTTACTTTTTGCAAACTTTATTGAAGAAGTGTGATTAACATTTCTATTATCTTTTAGTCTATTGATGTGCCATTCTTAGAGTGCTCAGTGCAACTTTGTTGGCAAGTGTTCGGAACTATACTTGCAGTTAAACTCCTGCTCAGCGAACAGTTTGCCTAGTCTAAATTAGTTTACCAAAATAGGCTTGTGCTGTACTATCATAATGAAACAAAATGCAATTTGAAAAGAACACATTAGACTATCATTTATGCTTAGAGGGGTTGTGAAAAGAAAGTGGAGTTGCCCAATTGTAATTTTCACTACTTTGGCACTGGCACACCAATTCCTAGATATTTTAGTTAAATATTCAGTCTATGATTAATAACTCCTCTTTGAAACTTGTGCTTATAGAACTACAATGTGGTCAGCCTCCATTGGCATTAGCGTGTGGCATCAACTTAAGACATTTTAAATTGTAAACATATCGTTAACCTTTGTTGCTCTAAAATAATTGATGAATATGAAAGGTAGGAAGTAAAAAAACAATATGCCAATTTTCGTGCTCACAATACTGCTCAAAGCTCAAAAGTGGTCTTGCCTGTTCTATCCTTCTTTTTAGTACGGTGGACAGTGCGTTGCAGCCGTTTCCAAGCAGCTGCCAACATCATTTGACACAATAAAGTACCTAAGCAGTACAGTGACGAGTGCTTTCTCACGACACCTGTTCACAACACTGGGCTGGAGGCATGTCCTCCCCGATTAGTTTGGGCAAGAGACTTTCTATTGAAGGAAGAGTGACGTTCCAGGCATGTAGTTAAATGAGGCGCTGTTCTAACAAACGACATTGCAGCTCGGGAATGCCTGTCGCTTTGGGATTGCATAGTTTTTGCTCGTGATGTCATTACAGAACTGCAGTCGAAACGGTATCATGCTCCGATTCTTGGCCAGCTATGCTTTAACTGGTCTAGGATCGTCACCATGTCTTCTCAATGTCAAATTTTTGATTGGCTGGTTAAGATGATGTGGGCAGTAGAGTTGAGGGGAATGCGAGCTGGCAAATCGAAATTGTGCTTTTATAGCTATTACCTCAACCCAGGCGATGAAACCAATCAACTGATACTACTATTGAATGGATGACAAGGATTACGAATAAACACCTCGTTCAAAATATTTGTAAAATGTTTCACGACCCCTTTTGTGTTTTATGATAATGTGTGGTTGTGACACAATTTCGGCACGAACTTGCTCTTGCCATAAAACTGTATTCTGGAGCATCTCTGGATTAGCAAAGTCAGTGTATAACACACCCGAAAAATGTTGTTTTGTCCAATGCGTTTCTTCCTGTTTTATTTCAGTGTAACAACACATTTAACTTTTGCTGTGTACATGACAGTTGGTATCGCTAAACACTTGTTATTGCGTGTGGGGAAGATACTCGCTGTAGAGGAAAACTCAAAGGTTTATAATTCTTTACTCCGTGCAGGGTTACTACGAGCGTACCGATGAGTACATGCCAATACTCGAGAGAGAAAAAGTTGGCGTTTTTCCTGTGGTGATGGTCCACTCTGCGACACTGATCAACCTGAATCATGCCCACTCCCGCAAGCTAACTTATGACCCACAAAAGCTAGAAGGCTACATGGGACCAAATGATGATGTTATCACCTTTGCACACTCAGCCAAGTTTGCAGGTAAGGCCTGTCAGTTAGGTGCAGTGAAATTCGGTTGACTGGCAGCATCTTGAGTCACTAGCATGAGGGTGTGGGTTTGATTTCCTGCCGTGGCAGTTGCACGTCGGTGGGGGTGAAATGCAAGAATGCCCACGTATTTAGATTTAGGCCCACATTAAAGAAACCAGTAGTGGGGAGAATTAATGTGGAGTCCTTCATTTTGGCGTGTCTCTTAATCATATGATTTTGAGACATAAAATTCGAGCATGTGATTCATTAAGTATTTTTAGCCACTGAAGTAGTCGAAACCCTATAAAAAGCAAGTGGAATAAGTATGTACTATAGTGAGCACAATTGAAGTGTTGCAAAGAAGTGCCATGTAGCCAGTTCATGACACGTTCGAAAAGCTACAAGCAAAGAGTATGTGATTGAGCCTATGTAAATGTTTATCCAGTTAGTTACCCTTAACGACCATCGGTTATCCTGTCTACACACTACATGCCCGGCCCATGTCCATTCCTTCTTGATTTCAGCTATGATATCCTTAACCCCCGTTTGTTCCCTAATCCACTCTGCTCTCTTCTTGTCTCTTAAGGTTACACCTATCATTTTTCTTTCCATTGCTCGCTACGTCGTCCTCAATTTAAGCTGAACCCTCCTTGTAAGTCTCCAGGTTTCTGCTCCGTAGCTAAGTACCGGCAAGATACAGCTGTTATATACCTTCCTCTTGAGGGATAGTGGCAATCTACCTGTCATAATTTGAGAGTGCTTGCCAAATGTGCTCCACCCCATTCTTATTCTTCTAGTTACTTCAATCTCGTGGTTTGGCTCCGCGGTTATTACCTGCCCTAAGTAGACATAGTCTTTTACAACTAGAAGTGCACTATTACCTATCTCGAAGCGCTGCTCTTTTCCGAGGTTGTTGTACATTACTTTCGTTTTCTGCAGATTCATTTTAAGACCCACCTTACTGCTCTCCTTGTCTAACTCCGTAATCATGAGTTGCAATTCGTCCCCTGAGTTACTCAGCAATGCAATGTCATCGGTGAAGCGCAGGTTACTAAGATATTCTCCATTAACTCTTATCCCTAACTGTGCCCTTTCTAGGCTTCTGAAAACCTCCTGTAAGCACGCGGTAAATAGCATTGGGAAGATTGTGTAACCCTGCCTTCAGACAGGATAACCGCTGGTCGTTAAGGGTAACTAACTGGATTCCAAGAGAAGGCAAGCGGGTTAGGGGGAGACAGAAGGTTAGGTGGGCAGATGAGATTAAGAAGTTTGTGGGTATAAATTGGCAGCAGCAAGCACAGGACCGGGTTAACTGGCGGAACATGGGAGAGGCTTGTCCTGCAGTGGACGTAGTCAGGCTGATGATAATGATGATGATGAAATGTCTATCATACAAAGCAGCCTTGGGCTCTTTTTGTGGATTCTATGATTTGAAGTTAACAGGAAATGACCCTTTTTCCACTTTAGCAATTTGCAAATGCCTGTTAACTGTCGAACATGACATATGTTTTTATATAGTGAAAAGGCCATTCATGAGTTTTGCAAATTTGACTGGTTGCACATAACACAAATTATACATATCTTTCGATGGCACTGTATTACTTTGTCTAAATTTAGGCAAAGCAGTTTGCTATTCAGACAATTTTACCATGTTTACACCTCTACAGGCCCTGTAGCACTTTTTTGAGTTTGAATAGAATAGTCTTGCTGTTAACCCATGACATTTCATGAATCACTTGATTGATATGTGGGGTTTAACGTCCCAAAACCACCATATAATTATGAGAGACGCCGTAGTGGAGGGCTCCGGAAATTTTGAGCACCTGGTGTTCTTTAACGTGCTTCATCAATCACATGCCACAAAAATTTTCAGAATTGGTCAAGTACGAGCAGAGTTACAGGGATTCGCTGCATGCTTCAAGGGTTGTCTCTCTTGTTTAATGCCAGCTGACACGCTGAAAGCTATGCTAGAAAGGGGATGACAAGGGGGTAAGAAGAGTTGTCCCTTCGTCAGTACCTTGAGCACTTTCTTTTCTTGTTTTTTTTTTTTAATGTGTTGCTTATATTCAATGTGACCACGAGCACACTCAGGTGTGAGGTACCATTTCGTGGCAGCCACAGTAACTATGCAACAAATCAGCCAACAGCCATGGATGGGGGTATATGGTGCATAAATTTGGGTATATGACATCATCTGCATAGAGAAGAGAGAGTGATTTCTTGCTGATTTTAAGAAATAATTGAAAATTCTTGGCCACACGCTGCATTATACTGTTTGGCCTGGGTGCTTACGAGAGCCTTGACTACTGTTCGGCAGTGTTTTGTGACCATGCTCGAAAAGTGTTGCAGGGCCCCATTAATTAAGTTGAACACTGTGTCTTTGAAAGTATTACCTGTAATTTTTAACTATGAAAAGCATGTCAAGTAGGAGAGTACCTTGTATCTTGGTCTCTCTGTATCTGAGAAACCTTTGTAGTTTGTTGCATGTTTGTATGTTTGTGGAGAGATTAAGTTTGCCAGTTAGAGAGAGAGAGAGAGAAGAAAAATATCAGAAAGGTAGGAAGGTTAACAAGACTAAGTCCAGTTTGCTACCTTAGATGGGGGAGAGAGAAATGAGGGAGAAAGAGAGGGGGAGATGCACATTGAACATAACACACACACTGCACACACAGTTCAGGTTTCACAGACAGTCGCACAGTGACTCAAGAATTGTACAAGGGCTTGTGTGGCTTTCTGGGCTGAAGTACGTGAAGGCCACGCTCCTAAGATCTTCTCCAGAGTAAAGGCTCGATCATTCAGCCTCCTTAAGGCACACTGAAGAGTCCGGCAATCTTCTTCAAAAGTCTAGACAATGGCACAGGACATGTTCCAGAGTTTCTACGCAATGGCAGTTATCACAGGAATGTGACCTGCCCCTTTGATGTGCCAGCCTTGGATGAATCACATAGTCAGCACAGTCACATTTTGTGATAATCCTCCACTGCACTAAAGTTGAGTGCAGTGGAGGATTATGCATGCATCTGCCTTTTGGAGGACTTCCTCCAAAAGGCAGATGCATGCAAGCCTGCACCAAAGGTCATGCACTCTATATCGATGTCATGAGCTGGTGCTGCGTAACCTTTGGAAAACATGGCCAAGTGCAATGATCAGCGGGACTAAATCTTCAGTTGCGGACTCATCTGGGCAGGGCCTATTGAGGCATATGTTGTACCCAACTATATATGTGTGTTTTACGGTGATGACAGTTAAATACCTGAAGATTTGCTTGTTGTGCCTGTTTGTCTATCCATTTCATTACACTTGCAAGTAAATGGTCGTTTATATATATATATATACACAAATTGACCTTGGCCAAAACCAGTGGTATTTGATCTCGCATCATGTCAGCAAACATGTTCCACAATAAGTTCAAATGATTTATGTTCACACTCACTTCTTCTGAGAGCTTCGGTGCCTGCCCGTGTATTCTAACTGGAGGCCAGAATAAGCACTACTGTAGCTGCAAAGATTGGGTTTGGTGTGCCATAGCGGTAATTTTTTATGAGATGCTGGTATGTTGGCCTACAGTTTTTTTTTACCATGCTTGTAAACGGAGCATCGATAGTACAAAGGAATCCACATGCGATAATCATGTTGATAGCAATTGACCATGGTACATGCTTACACTAAAAGGATGTACTAAGATTCTGGCGGTTTGTGTAAGACGAGATGAAGAGCATTGATAGTAATAGTGCCCTGAACGTGTTGCCATAAAGATTGCCCTTCAGTTAGTTGATGCCCTAATGCTAGTGGCAATGGTTGTGTTAGTGACACTATAATAAATCTTATCATAAAGCTGAATAATTAAAAGGTGAATAAAGTTGTGCAACGTTAAAATAATGGAGAGACTTCTTGAGCGCTTTGCTGCCATAAAATATCTTTGCAAAGGTCTTGTGAAAGAGCTTTGCAGTATTGGAGCTTGCACAATTTTCTTCTGTGCCAATAGAAACTGTTTCTATTTATCGGCAGCTGTCGAGATGTTTATTAGCAACAAGGACCAATATGGCCACATTCTGGCTCCCACGGAGTCTCCAGCAAATGAAGCCGAGGAGCTCTTAAACCTCAAGCTGGACGTCACAGGTTTGTGTGAATTAAATATTTATGTTTTTCTATTCTCTGAATTGATTTTTGCTTTGTTGGAAAACATGACTGTTATTGTTTTTGCTAACCCTTGCTGGAACAGAGCCTCACACAGAGGAAATTGCATCATAAGTGTTATGTGATCAGGCCCGTTTGTGCCGACTTGAAAGCCATTTCCAGCTGGAAATATAACTTCCAAACTGGGACTGGAAAACTTCAAGCTGAAAATGGCTTTCCAGTCAGGTATCATTTCCATTTCCAACCTGGAAATGCTATTCCCAGCCTGGAATGGGATTAATTCCCGCCGGAAATGGCATTTCCAGCTGGGAATGGGAAATTCCTCGCCTGAATAGCAGTTTACAGCTAAAATCCAGACGAGAAACTCCATTTCCAGCTGGGAATTCACATTCGATTTTCATGTGGGTAAGTTTGAAATAGTCATTAAAGGGTTTTCTGGTGTGTGCAAATAACAAAATTTTCGGTGCGAAGCAGATTCGATTATTGAAATGCGAGTCCGAATCAAATGAAGTATTTAAATATTTCTCGATTATTTATAGAATATTTTTCAAATAGTTCAAAGTTAAATTGGGGTAAAAAAAAGTTGAAGAGGATTGAGATATAGCAATATTAAAGTGTTTCTTTTTGCTAGGTTTATGAAGCGCTAGTGGGTGGTATACTATAGTTATCTTATCAAGAATAGGGCAATGCAGGCCGAATGGTGTTAGTACATGATTTAATGCAACGAAAGTGTTGTGGACAACACTTTACACATGAAAGGCAAAGATGCAATTTCCTCATCCTCTACTCTCCTTTCAACTTCTGTGAAAGCACAAATGATGTGGCAGGCAAAGTTGTGCTCCCTTCGAAATAAGAGATGCAAAATCTGCCTCATAGATATCAACATACGAGAACATTTGAAATTTTGGATGTTAAAAATTTTCGGCATCCAATTTTTTAGACTTACTGCCCGAATTTCAAATAAAAAACAGCATTATTTGAGCCCGAACCTCTGCCACATCAATTATTTCCACGTTGGAACCAATGCAACAATAGCAGAGCATGAAAGGCAGCTTTGCCGCAATACGAGATTGTGGTCAGGTGAAGCATATGAAAATTGAAGGGGTCACTTTTAATTTGACGTTGTCTGCATTTGTCTTTGGGACATTCTAATAGTTCGAATAGCGAGAATTTCAGTACTTTCAAATATGAGATATCAGTGGTTGCAATCCAGTAAAAACATTTTTATTGAAAGAGACGACTCCTATGATATACTTTTGACAAATATTCCCGGGAAAGAGTTGCCAAGGGTGAATGTGAGGTAACGGCACTTTCACGGTCCTCTTCCGGAACTCATGCCTATGATATAAAAATATTGAGGAGGCATATGAATGCTGGTGCTTGGGAGATATGTGCGAGTCAGCGTGAGTATAAACATGAGCTGATGCAAGGCTAATAGTAATGCTGAAGTGGAGTAGATAGAACGATAGATCGGTCAAGAACTGTAGAGCTCACTCAGACTCACTCAGGAAATGCATTTTGCGCTTAGGGTTCACTCGGACTCAGACTCGCCAAAATTTTCCTCAGTCAGACACACTTGAACTTAGACTTACTAAAATTCATCTCAACTGTACTCACTCGAACTCAAAGTTGCCAGAATGTTACTCACTCAGACTCACTTAGATTCTTGGCTCGATCTGAGTCTTAGTGGGTTTGAGTGAGTCAACTCATCAGTGAGTTTGGCGACCTATGGGTGTGCCTAACATAAAAAGAGCTTTACGGGAAAAATTTCTTCTTTCATCCATCTGCGAAAGGTTCTTCAAACAGCCCTTCATAACAACCTGAAGCTGAACAAGAAAAACCTCAAGGTGGGATTGTGATCAGCAACATGCTTTGATTACTAGCTGACTCATCACAGCGTTGGTTGGAATCTTGACAAAGTGAAGGCAATCAGTGCCATTCTGGTAAAGAACCTAGCAGAGCTCCTGCAATTCTTTGTAATGGCAACATTCCCAAATGAAGTTTATGCAAGACTTCTCAAGTACTCAACCTATGCAATGCTTTTGAAGTCTGGTAGGCTGGGCACTGGCCTTCCAAAATGTTAGGTTTATGCTGCCAAGTCTAGCAGAGCCTCACAAGTGCAGCAGTTTTGCTTTAACACGTTCATACTCGGCCTGTTTTCATATAAACAGATGAAAGCTCTTTTGGCATTGGCAGTGTTGCTCTCCAGGATGGTCATGAAGCAGCTGATCCATCTGTACCTGAGGCATAGGCAGAAATTTTTACAGCGGAAGCTGTTATGAGATCAGAACACGGGTCACACACGGTGCTGTAGGCCGCTGCCGTGAGCATCGCAAGAAATAAATAAAAAACACTGAGGACACAATGGGATTCGAACCCGGGTCCTCTGCATGCCAGCCCAGTATTCTACCACTGATCCACGCCGGTGCTTGGAAATCGTATCTTAACTGGCCTTAGGCAGGCTTGATGTCGAGAAAGGAATCACGTTAGTATGAGTAATAAAGTTTTTTAGAATATCGAAGGGACAACCAGGTGCCACACAATGTGAATTGTGTAACGAGTTAGTCGTTCAATACTCCAACCTATTATAAAACTTGTTCTTGATCACCTATCAACTGTGACGCATACCCACTTCAGGCATAATTCTTCATTGTCATCAGCCACTGCATAAAAAAAATTGTACAAAATTCTTAGCAATTGTGTAGCGGATACCACACTCCTCCAAAGAATGACAAGAATAGCATAGCGAATACTGGCCCACTACACAAAAATTATTATTTATGGCGTAGTGGATACCCAGAAAATGTGCTTGTAGCAGTTACCCAAAAGCTGTTAAAAAGGCTCTGAAAGGCCGCTTTTCTAACGTTTTCTGTGACTGTGCTGTGCATTCCGCGCAGGCCTGGTGTTTTTTTTTTTTTCCAGAAGGTTGCATCTCTTTAATCTGAGGTGGGTACTGGTCAGGCAGATGTGGTTGAGCGTCATTCGGTACTTGGTATGCATTGCGGAAAAAAAAAAAAAAAAAAATCGAGGGGGGAGGGGCAGCATAGTCCCTGACCAAGCCGCTGATATGTAGTGCTCACAGAGGCACAGCAGTGTGTAAGATGCGCACAGATCTCAAATAATAAAAAAATAAACCTTTAACTGTCGTGCTTATGTGAGAACTGTTGTGTTACTTTGTCAATCGCTGTTGCGTGACAATTGAAATGGATCACTGACCACTCATTCTCTCTTAATATGAGCGCAATGCTTTCATCTCAAGTTGGTCTAATACTGAGATACCAGCCTGCAGTGGTAGCAGGCGCGGCACCAGGATGTCTTTTTCAGGGGGGAGGGGGCACTAACGACAATTGTGTTCCTTCAGGGCGGCAGGGAGGTGCAAAACTTGTGTGTTTTGTTTTGATCATACTTGTTTGGGGGGGGGGGGGGCAAAGGGGCAAATGAGAATTGGGGGGGGGGGGGGGGAGGGGCTCCAGCCTACCTGTGTCCCTTGATGGCACCGTCCCTGGGTGGTAGATGCACTCTCTCATGCTTCTCAGCTTGCCAGAACAATTAGGACAGGTGATGATAAAATGTGGGTTTTTGTCTGTACGTTGATTGATTCAAGCATCTGTGGTAAAGCTTTCCGAATTACAAAAGAACACAGTTGATGATGTCATCCTTCAACAACTAGCCAAGTGAATTTAGAATGAATGGTTCAACAGGTCACCAGGGTTCATCACTTAGTTAAGTCTCTGCACTTAATAAGTAAACTGCACAGTACAGAGAGCCTTATATGCAATGGTGACATGCTGGTAACCTAACATAAATGTGAAGAAGATGTGCTCTTAAGGCTCCATATGAAAATAAGGGAAAATTCTAGACTCCTAAAACACCACAAGAAGAACTAAGAAGCACAGAAAAAGAAGCACAGGTGTCTAAAATTTTTCTTCATTATGATACCACCTAGCCCAGCAACAAGTACTTCTAAGCTCTATATGACACCTCGTGGCATACCTTCATGTGGAAAGACTACATGCCATAGTGTATACGAATTAGGCTTAGTGAGGAGATTGAGGGCATAATTATGACTTGTGACATTTGCCAACGATATTGAAGGGGCCCTGCAACACTTTTTCAAGTAGTCATGGAATGAACTCAGTAAAGGAGCTTATTGCCTAATGAATTGATCACTGCAAAAATACTTAGAATTTGTCCAGTAGGAGCGGAGTTACAAAGATCTGTCACATCCTACAACTGCTTTCTCTCTTCTGTCGTCCCTAAGAAAGCACTTGAAGCTAAGCAAGGAGGGATGGTCGGGTGGAACAAATACGTCACGCAGACCTCTTGACCTTGAGCACTCTTTTTCTTTTTTATCTTTGAATGCATGGTTCTTAAGAGTGATTGCGTGTGCCGAGCGCACCATGCCCAAATGAGCCAGTGGGTCGTTACTAGACTTTGACACAACAATTTTTGAGTACGTAGCTTCATTCGTAAAGAAAAAAGAAAACTATTTCTAGCTCACTTTGAGAACTTGTTGCAAATTTCATGCTGCATGCCGCATTATAATATTGGCTCGCGTGTTCTTCGAAGCTTCGGTTACCCATCGGCAGCATTTTTTTACCGTGCTCAAAAAGTGTTGCAGGGCTCATTTAATGGGCCAGCCAAGAAGAGCGAGCCTTAACTCAACAGGGAACTTCCAATTCGTCGATGCAAGAATGTGCCCGTCGATTTCATCATGCTTGTGTAAACTGCCTGTTAACATTAATGAGAACTAATAGAAAACACTGCCAAGGAAAGTAGAGGAGATGTTATTAGTAGTAAATGTAATGTATGAAACTGCCAATAAAGATGCCAATTTGAACTCATCCAAAGACTCATGTGCCACATTATCCACGTGAAAATTTTCAAGAGAAACTTTAATAGGGGCAGCAGAGACAGCGTGATTATTCCGGACAGTATACAAGGGTTACACCACTTTTGCATCATAGCCAGCCAGTCTGCAGCTCCTGGTCACTGAGGTAGGATCATAGCCTCGTAGGTCCAAAGTGATGGCTAGGGATGGTCAGTTTTATGAGCATAATGGTTATCGTTTGCATGTGAGCACAGGCACAGCAGAACCTTGTTACCTCTCAAGAACTCTTAACCACAGCTGAGGATGCAGCCTTCCAGACTTAGGGAAAAAGCCTATTCTCACCCAGCAAACTGTTCCAGCAGGCCGACTCCATGATCACCTCTAGAAGTCAAGGCCACTGCACCCCGAATAGCATTTCTCAGTGTTCTATAGCATGATCTGGCCAGCCAGTTAGAATTCTTCAAGGTTTCGTGACTGATGCAGTGTTGGTCTTCCAACATGTTGGAAGTTAGCACTCTGTCTGTCTACATGTGCCTTCATTTCTTTCTTTTGTTTACGTGTGCTACAAAGAAACTTACTGAAGATGAGCTACCAACAGGCCCGCATCGCATTTCTTGTGATCTGCTGAGTGAGTCAGTCATACGTCAATAATGATGATCATCAACATGAGTTTTCGATAAAATCCAGTCACAAGCCTGCGCTCCTCCTCATTCACTTCCTTGTCCTTGTTTCCTTTGCTCTGTACCTTGTTTAATGCTTTTTAAAAAATATGTTCAATTTATTAGAGTCTTAGTGTTGTCAATTGGTTGTCAACTTCTCTTTCTTGACTCTTCCAACACTGTGCAGAAGTCTACAGGACTGATTTCAAATGCAAAATACCCTGAAAATAGACATATGAGAAGTGATTTGGGAATTCTTTGCATTTGAAAGCACGCCTAAGGACACTGCACTGTACATGTTGTCTTATGTTATACAAAATGACAGATTAATATAATAATCAACAAAATTACAATAAATACTGAACCACACTGAGTACTTTGGTGTCTGTCTAAATTAGCAAAAACAGTCACACATATGTTGGCATTTATTTTAAGGATATGGATGTTCTTGCTTCATTGCCATCCAAACACCCACACAGTTGCTGACGGACAGGTTATAAAAGCAATACCAATTGCAAGAGGTTGAACAAAAGCTGGCGCATGCACTCCCATGTAAGTTAGGTGATCTGTGCTAGTCAGGAGTTTCGATGGGTCTTGGGTCATGCATTCTAGTGTGATTATAAGTTCAAAAATGGAGTGTTGCCAATTTGCATCTCATGGCAACAAGATGTTTGTATACTCAAATCTAGACCACAAAAATGCTATATATGGGTGATTTAGTATACAAAATATTTTATATACTGAAGATATATCCTAGGGGATTTATAACTGACATAGACAATAATTGCTATATGTGGGTTTGGTATATGCAGGTTCAACATTATTTGATGAAGGTGATTTTAAAGGCAAAGCTCCATCTAGTTCTCTGCTTCCATGGCAGTTAAAGCTGGCTGATTTGCATGTCCAGCTGTTTAAATAAAAAAAAAGGAGTAAAAAAAAAAAGATGGAGCGCCACACACGTACGTGCACAGACAGACAAAGAGAGAGAGAGCTAAAACCAAAGTGCAAATTTCCTCTCCGGCTGCAAGACAGAAAAAAAAAAAAAATTCTGGGACTCTTCAGCTTGACCTTTAAGAGTTGAGCACTATAGCGATATCCTGTCCCTAGTGTGTCCTTCACACACTTAGTGCATGAAATCTTTTTGAAATGGCTATACACCCACTACATAGCCTTAAGGGAATCGGCACAGTAACGCATGTGCCTTTTGTTGTGGGTAACCGGCTTTAAACCATGAAGTCATTATGGTAATCACATGTTGTGATGCTCGATGACAGGGTAGACTTGTGTCACGCATTATTACTGCAATATTTCATGATGTATTGTGAAACATTTATACAGAACAGGTGTGTTTGTAAAGTTTCCAAGCAGAGGAAGTTTTTTCAGTGCTCACAAGCAGCCATATAGCAGTGTCGTAGAACATCCGCTTGCCATGCAAACAACCTTGGTTCAATTCCCACTGTAACCCAGGATTTTTTTATTATTTTATTTGCATTGTTCTTGATTTTTCGGTCACGCGTAGAGTGACGATTTTTCACTCACAACCAACGTTACTGACGCCGATGCCAGAATTCCTGCGATACGAGCTATTTAGCATTATCGCATTAATAAAGGTAAAAGAAAGGCGGTGAGTTTAACCAGGGCTGAGTCTTATAGGCTGCCCTGTGCTGGAGAACGAAATGGGGGAACGGAAAGTTAAAGAAGTAAAAAGTGACTGTCGCCACCGATGTAACAGCAGTTCCACGTTTGACATCACACACGGTGAGTCGATCCCGTGGCTTAAATTAATTAAAGCAGTGCATTCATTTCTTTATGTAACTTGTATGCATGGTCCTATGCCCCCTAAATCTTGTCGATGGTGAAGTGATTGTGGTGCTTTGTTCTCAGGCAGTGGACTTGTGAAAGCTTTTGAGAACTGGAGTACTGGTGTCCAGCAGTTGCAACACGCTTTGAGCTATTGGTGCCTGCCCTGCATCTTGCTCAGCTATACACGAACAGCACTGACTAGAGGACTGACCACGCCGATGACTTGTCTAAAGTTTTCTATAAATACGCTAGAGGGAACTCTTGCACTAGTGTCTATGGGAGCTGCCATGCACGGCACTTCAGCCAGCATGGGAATGATGGGTAGTACACAAATCTTTGAACTCTCGGCTCCATTTGGCTTTTTGTGGCGTGGAGCTGCTTTGTCACGAAACGACAGTCAGCAAATGTTCAGCACTTGCACTACACCATTTTCACCTTTTAGGCTCACCAATTCAAACCAGGTCACTAAGTTCACAACTGTTCGTCTATTTTTTTAATTCAAAATAAAACCAATACACTGCAATAAACAAAGCTACGAGTGCATTCGAATCCTGCAATCACGAAACTAGGCAAATTTGTATACTACCCATGCCAATCATTCTCATGGTGGTTTAATGAATACACTGCAATAAACAAAGCCACAAGTGCATTTGAATCCTGCAATCACGAAACTAGGCAAATTTGTATACTACCCATGCCCATCATTCTCATGGTGGCTTAATGAACACAGTGCCAGAGTCCCCTCTAATTAATTTTAAGAAACTATGCCATGGCTAGTGCCATATATTTTTAATGTTAGTACTATAAGTTATCTTGAAATAAGCTCCAAGGACATCACTTCAGTTTAAAATGTGTCTTGCTGCTGACTGTTCTGCAAGAGGTTGCAAAACACATAGTTTGAGAGCAGATTGACAGCAGCGATACAGAAGTCTTGAAAGAAAGATTTCAAGCCATACCACAAAAGTAAGGGGGTCTAGTGGCTTCAATATTACCCTGACAAAAAGGTTGCTGCAAACTTAGTCTTACATCACCATCGTTGCGCTGCTTGACTGCTCTTGCGTTGCAAGTCAAATATGCCAATGAAAAAATTTGTGAATTCACACCACGGTTTTAAGAGGGGTAAGAAATATGTCCCGATTGTATTTTTGTGTAGATATTTAGTTTTTGCTTACTGCTGTTCTGTACTGCTAAGTGGCATTGAAAGTAAATAAATGGAGTGATATAACGACATCTTTGTGATGCATGTTCTTTTTTTTCTCTCTTCCTTGTTCACTGTAGTGGATGGTGAGCCCCTTCTGATTTCGCCAGCTTTGCAGTCCTTTGTGGTGCCTCCAAAGAAGGACACTCTTGGCTTTGATCAGGTGAATGCAATTGTTTCATGTGAGCAGGTTCATCTTTGGCCCACTTGTGTCTTGTATTTGTAGTGCCACCAAGCTAGTGCTTGTATGGTTAGCAGGCTTATTAATAAGATTTTTGACCAAAACGATAAGAGCGATAACGTAGTATTTTTGAAGTTGTTACCCGAGAATACTTGCATTTGGTAAGTGTGATGATGAAATAACTTTATTTAAAATCAGGCGAATGGAGGGCCCGGGGCCGCCTAGATAGTCGCTTGGAGCTTTTGCTCCCATGCTGCCTCCAGGGCTCGCTGGACGGCCCAAGTTGATCCGTGAGTTCTGAGCTTTGCAGCGCGGCCAACCACAGCTCCCGCAGATCTTTCGAAGAGACCATCATATGATCTTGGTATATTGGACATCCCCACAACATGTGTTGAAAGGTGGCTCTACCAGACTTGCATAACTTGCATGTGTCGCTCTTGGATATGACAAGGTAGAAAGTCTTTAATTTCATGGGATTGGGGTAGCTTTCTGTCTGTAATCGCCTCCAAGGAATGGACTCTGCTCGCCTTAGTTAAGCGTGAGGTGGTGGCTGAATTCCCCTCTGCATTTGATAGTATTTGGTTGTATTACTAAATGTGGGTAATAGATTTTTTTCTCTCCATATCTCCTCCTCCATGTTCCCCTGACCGATAGAAGTCACTCCTTGCTCAGCTCGGCGAGTAAGACCTCGAGCCTTGCATTGTGCTACCTCATTGAGGTTGACAGTGGGAATGTTTCAAGATGTATGTGCTGGGAACCAGAGCAGTTGTTTGTCATTCTTTTTTACAGTGGAGAATATTGCTTGATTTACATTCATGATGTGCCACGCCTCCGGGGAGATGTGGCTCTTAGCGTAATTTCGAATGGTCGCCTGCGAATCACTAGTAGTCTATTGAGCAATCATGGATACCAGTGCTAGTGCAATGGTTACTTCCTCTGCTGTCTAAAAAAATTTGGTATTAACTGACACGCCGGTAATGAGCTTTTGGTTGTGATCTATGACTACCGCCACGTAGTTATTTTTGTTGTGGTTTTCAGCCGCGTCAACGAAAATGGCTCTGTGGTCTGACCCGTAGCTCTGGATCATTTTTTCCGCTCTGTTTGTGGCGTCTACCCTTATTGTAACATGGATGCATCTTCTTGGGTATATAAGGGGCTAAAAGTTTCTCACGAATTTTTCTTGTTATCATCTTTTTTTCTCTGTTTTGATTGTGGTAATTCATCTCTAGCTTGCGTAATATATTCCATCCATTAGAGGTTTTTGTTAGTCGCTTTGCCTGAGACATTTGTTGTGCATCAATGAGTTCCTCCAGTGTGTTGTGGAGTCCTAGCATTAGAAAAAGGTTCGTGCTCGTACTGATGGGAGTGCTAGTTTGTACACCTTTTTAATCAGGTCTATAAATTTTCTCTTTCCAGCTGCGAACCAATTATGAAAGGCTGCTATGTATGTGATCTGACTGACTACAAAAGATTATATCAGCCATATGATACTTTCTTCCTTCATACCCTGGTGCTTGTTAGGAATTTGATTAATCTTATGCTGTTTGTTACCTTTGCTGCTATTTTCTTAATGGTTCCCCATTTGTACCTTAGTTCTTGATTACAAGGCCCAGTACCTTGAGCTGGTTGACTATAGAGATATTTCGGCCATTCCCTGTGTGCATCTTAATTTCTTCATAAGCCTCGTTTCTGTCATATCCAGTGGGAGGCCTACCCCTAAGCATGGAACGGTACAAAAGAAGCTCGAACTTGTCTGCGGAGCATGTGAGACCTGTTCCTATCAGGCGTCCCTCTACTGTGTTTATTGCGGTCTGCAGTCGGTGTTCTATGGAGCCTTGAAAAATTCCTTGAGAAATTTCTCTTCTGTGCCATCATAGCTGTGTATTAACTTAATAATGGCATGGCTGTTCTTATTTTCTAGATAAAGTAGGAACCTCGGCAAGTGCCAGGTTCTGCCGGTGCCTAATTGCCCGTCCATAGAATCGAAAATCTCGTCCCATTGTTGTTTGCTGAGTTGCTTAGCATGTTGTTCTATTTCTTTCTTAAGAAGTGCTGTGCTCTTTCTCAACTTCCTGTTATGCTTTTGGCTGTTAAGTCTATGTTGAAGTGACTGCTTAGCTTCCCACATGTGGGGAAGTTTGCTGTCACATTTCGTTAAGTTAGATTGAGGGGGCATGATTTTAGTAGCAGCTTTGTCGTCTGAGCTGCTTAGTTTATTGTTCTATGTCTGCGATTGGTCATTGTTCATTCGCCTCTCGCATTCTACGAAGCTATTCCCAGTCTAGAAAATTGATTTTCTTTGGAGCTACTTGGGCCATAGTGTAAACTCTGGCATGCGGTGGTTGCTACCCAAATGTTGTAGTGTGTTGTGCCACATAGCCATTTGAATATTTTTGGTGAAAGTTAGGTCTGGGGTGGTGTTCCTGTTTAGCGCCGTGCCAATTCTGGTTGGACTGCAGGGATCTGTGATAAGTGTTAGACCCAACTCTTGCGAGTCATCCCATAGGGCCCTTTCTTTTGGTCTCGCATATAGATATCCCCAGGCGGTGTCTGGTGCATTAAAGTCTCCTGCTATAACTACTATATTCTCTCCAGCCAGACTAAATCTAAGTGTTTTCTGGAATAGGCTTCTGAATTTCTGTTTGTTGCGAGGGGTTGCCATAAATGTTCAGGATAAATAAACTATGCCCTGCCTTCTTTTGTGGGTGGAGTTCCAATAAAATATTGTCTATGTGCGCTATGCCTTTGTTGTGTTACACGCACGCGATGCTCCTTTTTACCAGCGTGGTTAATGCCCTCGTCTCCCCTTCGGCATAGCCAAAAGATCTGCATCCTGCCAGCTTTGCAATACCATGTGTTTCCTGCAAAACTATGACGTCCGGTCTATCTTTGCCTTTTAAGTACTATTGCAAAACTGACCTTTTGTTTTCGTAACTTCTACAGTTACATTGCCACATTTAAAAAACTTTCTTAGCCGGCGTCATTGTGGTTGTGGCCATGGAATGGAAGTGGGAGGTTGGAGAGAGACTGATCTTATATAATTCTGTCGTTGAGATCTTGATGTGAATTGTGGCGCTTCTGCTGTGTCGGAGGAGAGTACACTGCCTGGTGACTGCTTTGCTTCTAAGACGTCTAATCTATTCATAATCGTTGCTGTTGCTTTAGCCATTCGGTTCTTCATTTTTTCCCATTTTTTCTTTTATTTTTGTATCTCCTTAAGGGTCTTTTATATATCAGCTAATGGTTTATCTACCGTCACATCATCTTGTTTAACATTTATCGCTTGGACCTTGTGTTTGAGAGGAGGGGATTATCCCCTTCATTCATCTTGTTCTCCATGATTTCAATTATTTCTTTTGTGCTCGCATGTGGAGCAGGAGTTACCTGGCTTACTGGGCACTTTTTCTCTTTGAGGCTTTTTATTTCATCACTCATGCATGCTAGCATTATCCTCAGCAGCACGTTCTCGTGCTTTAGTTCTCTTAACTCATTGGTAATGGCAGTCTCCCCGTCAACTTGCGGACGCGCGCTCTCGACCACATCTGCCTAGCTCACCTTAAATTTCGGGTCTCCTGTAGGGGGTGGCCTTGTTGTGGACGTAGACCTGGATCGGGATTGGCGTCGTGTCCCCGGTTTTATGGAGTCAGAATGGGATGATAGTCGATGGGTCGATGGAGATCTCGATTTCATGCTCGACCTTGTTCTCGACTTGGAGCGTCATTCCTTTTCTTCTGGGAGGCCATATTTTCCAAAAAAATCTGCCTTCTCTCCTCTTAATATAGAGTCTTCATATTCTTGTTGTTGCTCTTGTTGCAGCCTTTGCCATTGCCTCTGCTTCACAATGAAAGGCTTCTTGAATTTGGCCTTGCATGTCTTGTCTATGGTGGTATGGTCCGCACCGCATTGCTGATATTTGGTTTCGCACCGATGACCTTCATCTGGATGTGGTGTTTCACAACCGGCACAAATCTTGTTGTCAGGATTCGGACACATGTCTCCCCAGTGTCCAAGTCTCTTGCATTCGCGACAGAAATGCATTGGTTTTCGATACAGTGAGCATTGGAGCAGCGCTGCCCTGTATCAGACAAACGTGGGCACTTGGTGTTCGTATAAGAGCACAATCACCGTGGTAGTATTACTGAGCCTCTTTGCTGCTATTACTGTTGGCTTTTTGGTAGTAACAATAGATGTTGTGATGTCTTTTGGACCCTCTTCGAGTGGGATTCTTTTGATAACTCCTTTGGCCGTCATGCCCGACGCTGTCTCGTAGGCATTTGTCTCATGAAGCTTGTCTTGAACTTTGATACGTCTTACAGTCTGATACTTGTTGGCATGCTCTTGATCTGGTGTACTAGCAATCAGAATATTTTGATAGTTGTTAGGACAGATGATATCCTCCTCCCATTCCTTGAAAGGGTGCCCACCGCATCTCCTGCATCTGCACCTCTGCTGTTAGGTTATCCACACTGTGCTCAGATATTTCAATTCCTCTAGTTGGTCTGATCACAATCTTGTAATCCGTTCTTGGAAAATGTGGCATTCTGCTTGCTTTGCATATTTGAGTGCTACAGTTTAAAGCAGTCACTGACATTTTGATGAAACAGTGCCTTACTAAACAAAGGATGAGACAAAGGAGTGCACAGGATGTGCTCTTAACTCACATCTCAAGCTTATTCCGAAAAACACTTATGTCAGGGATGACAAAGAAAACGGTCGAAAAAGAAAAAGAATAAAGATGCACGGCACGTGAGCAAGAGAAGAAATTGGAAAACAAAAAAGAGTAGTGCACCCGTGCACAAGGAATTGGAAAGTGGGCGCTTGGAGAAGGGAACGTGGCCAGGAAGACTGTGAAGAGAACAGGTGGTCGAGACAGCCTGGGTCTCGCTTCAGGACTGCAACGCGTTGAGAGCCGCCCAAGTTTTTACTTCGGCAAGATGCCATCATTGTGCTCCGGTCTTCCAGTTGGCAGGCGGTACAGCGAG